GGGGACGTGGGAGGAATGAGATATACCGGGTGTAATAAACAACCAAAAAAAAAAAATTATCAAGTGAAATTTTGACAGGAAAAAGTATGAAGATAGGCAAGAAAAAAAAAGGATAAGTAAAGAGCGGGAAGATAGAAAAAAAAAAGTGCATTTGGGTGACAGGGGACAAGGAAATGGCAAAAAAAAAAAAACTAACTAGCAAAAAAAAAATGATCAATGAAAAATCGGATATTTGATTGATAGTTATAAAGTAACGATTCTATTTTTTTTTTTTGTTAAATGATAAAAAAAATTGTTTTAATTTTATGTTTTTTATTTTTTCTTTTCATTAAATCTGAAAAAAATTTAAATTTAATAAATTTTATTAAATTTAAGAAAGAAAAAAATTATTTTTTGATCGAAATGAATTTTAGGCAAGAATGGAGTTTTAATGTTTTGCAAAGAAAAATTTTCAAATTCAAAAAAAACAGACTTTTTCTTTTTTCTCATAACTTTTAGCATTTTTTCCTTTTATTTCTTCTTTTTTCCTTTTTTTTTTTTGTTTTCTTATTTCAAAAATAAAATTGAGAAGTTGAAGAAAAGAAAACCAATGAAGGAAATAGGAAAAAAGGAAAATTTCACAAATTTTATTTTTGAATTGTTTGCAGCATTTTTTGCAAAAGCATAACGTCAAAAATTAGTAAAATAAAAAAAACAAAGGAAAAAAATTTTTATTTAACAAAAATTTTATACTTAAAAAAAATTTTATACTTAGCGAAGATTTTATACTTAAAAAAAATTCTATACTTAACGGAAATTTCATATTTAAATTTTACACTTACCAAAAATTTTTTTGTTCAACCAAAATTTTGCGCTTAACAAAAATTTTGTACTTAACAAGAGTTTTACATTTAACAAAAATTTTTTATTTAACAAAAATATTTTATTTAACAAAAATTTTTTATTTAACAAAAATATTTTATTTGACAAAATTTTTTATTTAACAAAAATTTTATACTTAACGGAAATTTTATGCTTAAATTTTACACTTAACAAAAATTTTTTTCAACAAAAATTTTTCATTTTAACAAAAATTTTATAGTTAATAAAAATTTTTTCCAATTAAACGAATTTACACCGCTTTTTTTTGTTGTTGAATTTAACTTTGTATTGTTTTATGGGTTTATTTTTTTGAGAAAAAGAAATTGTTGAAATTGATTGAGTGAGGAAGAGATAAATGTAAAATTTTAAATCATTAAGTAAAAAAATTTGGATAATTTTAAGTTTTTTTTTGCAGAAATTTTATTTATCATTTAAAATCTATGAAAAATGGTTGATTAGAATATTTTAGCAATAATGACATTTCAATTATAATTTTATTCAAAAAAAAAAAAGAGAAAAAAAGTGTAAGGGAATTACACGTTTTCTTTGTGAGACAATTAATTGTCGTATGGTTTGTTTAAATTTTTAAAAAAAGGTTTGATAAAAAGCAAACAAAAAACGGATTGATAATGATAACAAATTGAAATGAATTATTGAAAAGCTAAACATCTATAATGGTCATTTGAAATGTTTTATTTTCATGTTTAGATATGATAAAAATGATAAGAAAAAGTATTCCATTTAATTAGCAAATCATTTCAAATGTTTAAAATCATTATTAGTTGTTAGGATAAAAAGTTTCTTTTTTAATTTTAAAATTCGAAAAATGGAAAAAATGAAAAAATAATGCTTTTAAAGAAATTGCTAATTTTATTCCAGATGTTAATTAATTTTTTTAATTTTAGAATTCGAAAAATGAAAAAATCATGTTTTTAAAAAAATTGCTAATTTTCATTCCAAATGTTAATTAACAAAGATTAATAATATATCCACTCGCAATGTGACATATTTCTCATTTTATTAGCAAATAATTATGCATGCTAATTAGCTTAGTGTTTTAAATTACTAATTTTGTATTATTTCAATTTAACCTTACGTTTTACTTTTTTTTTCTTTTTTCATTCTTCTTTTTTACTAAATTCAGTTAAAGTTATTTGCAATTTTTTTCCTTTTTTTTTCTTTTTTTTTTTGAGCTAACAAAGTTTGAAAGTCAAATGTTTATAACAAAACATAAAAATGTACAAAAAAAAAAAGAAAACATTCATTTTATGTGATACATTTATTGGTTTTATGCAAATCCCAAAAGTGTCTTTTTTAACTTTTCATATTTGAAAATATTTGAAAAAGAAAATTTAAAAAAAAAACGATCACCTACTTTGAAGTACAATTGTGACAACATTTAAACTTATTGTTCATTTTTTTAAATAAATTAATTGCTTAATGCTAGCCTATTGGAAATTAATTTAAAACTATAATAATCAAATGAAATTTTTCATTTAAATAGATTTGTATGATTGGATGAAAATATTTAAGCATAATGAATGATTATTTTATAAAAAAAAAAAACTGTAATTATAGTTTTGTCATTTTCAATTAGCTATGAATTCCTTGATGGCATCATTTTAGTTTGTAAATTTCAAATATTCTCTATAGTATGTTGCAAAGATTTTTTTTTTTTTTAGCTCAAAATTTAAATCAATAAAAACAAATTTGATACACAAAAAAAAGAGACGAAAATTATTAAATAATTAATGTAGAAAAATTACTCAATTAAAAAAATTTACGATTTTAATAACAAATGAAATTTTTCAATCATATTTTTAAGTTTTTTTTTTTTGCATAAAGCATTTTTTTAAAACTTTGTTTGAAATTTTAGCCAATTTTTTTTATTCCAAATTCTTTTGTAATCAAAAATTAGCATAAAGCTTAATATTTCTTTAATCAATGAATGAACAAATTGTTGCATCATGCAAAAACTTATAACAATGTTATAATTAGTAATTAATAATTTGATTACAGAAAGGTAAAAAAAATAACTTGACAATTTTAGTAATTCAATAATTTGATTTAGTGATTTAATTAGGAAAGAGTACAATTAGTATATGATATGGATAAAATTTTCAATCATCAAAAAAATGATTGAAATTAGTGATGAATTTATTTTTTAAAATGAAATGAAATAATGAAATGTCATTTGTGCTTCGTCTTTCTTTAATAAATCCTTCTTCTTTTTTTTTTGGATTTATTGAAAGGATAAAATGTAAAGATTTAAAGTGTTAATAATTTTTATCAAATATCTATCATGCCATTTTATAGTTTCAATTTCTTTTTCATTCAAAATTTTAATTGGAAATCATTGATTTCAATGAGACGAATAGCAAGTATAACGCGGAAATATTGGAATTCATTACTGAAATAAAATAAAAAATATTGAAAATTGAAAAATTTAATAATTATTCATTCTTTTTTACCGCAAAAAATTTTTAATTAGTAATAATTTTCGAAATACAAAAAGAAAAAAATTTAATTGAAAACATTTCATGAATGGATTAAATTTTTGAAACTTATATCCTAAAATACAAAACTCACTTGTAATTATTGAAATACATATTCAAAATTAATGGAAAAAATTGCTTAAAAGTATTATGCGAATGATAAGTAATATAAAGTGTGATGGTTCGAATTTATTTTTGTTGATGAATAATTGAAATAATTAATGTCTTATAGTTCCAAAAATTATTTAAAATTTTTCCGAAATTTTTTTTAACTGTAATATTCAAAACAGAATGATTTAGGCAAAAATTTAAATTTTATTTTGCAATTAAAAAAAAATGAATTGAAAAAATACTGCACTGCATATGTTTATTTAATATATGAATTATATAAATTTAATGTAAATATGCGAATTTGATTGTGTAGGGGGAATGTAAAAAAAATAATAAGTTTTTGGTTACGGATTGAAATTTTTTAATTAATTAAACTTTTTGAATGTTTTTGTCTATAACAAATTAATTTTGCCTACATTAAATTTTATCAAATTAATCAAATAATCAAATCAATACGAGGATTTTTTTTTTTCAAATATCAAATTGATATAGTTCAATCAAGTTTTGTTTTCATTTGAAATGATGTAAAAATTTAATATTTTATAAAATAATATTTGATAAAAAGTGATAAGAATGGAACGGGGAAATGTTTGATAATAAAATAATAACAAGTGATAAGAATGGGACGGGGAAATATTTGATAATAAAATAATAACAAGTGATAAGAATGGAACAGAGAAATATTTGATAATAAAATAACGACAAGTGATAAGAATGGAACAGGGAAATATTTGATAATAAAATAACGACAAGTGATAAGAATGGAACAGGGAAATGTTTGATAAAAAATAATCAGTCGAGAAATGATAGAAAAATATTTTGTTATCTTATGAAAAAAAAAAGATCAAAACGAACCGTTTTTCCTTCTTAGTCCTTTTTTTTCTTATCAATTGTAAATTAATAAAACTTAAAAAATAGCAAATATAAATGAAATAAAAGTTAAATGTTATATATTTATACGGTATTAAATGACGATATGAATTTTTTATTTTTATTTTTAGATTTTTTTCTAACTCATATTTAACATCTGTTTTATTTATTCATGAAATATTTTATTATTTTAAAGAAAAATTTTTTAAATTTTAAAAAATTTACAAAATTTGATTTTTTATATTTTGTTATCAGTTGATGCGTCAAAAAGAAAAAATCATAAGCTGAACAGATGTGAAAGTTAGTTTTACAAAATAATTTAACAATGAATAATTTGATATTAAATTAGCAACAATTCATACAGATGTATTTATTAAAAGCTATCTTTTGATAAAATGTTTTTTTTTGGCTAATTGTTGAATTTTTAAGCAGTCAATTAACTAATTGATAACTAATCAATTAATTATCTTTCAAAAATTCAAAATAGCAGTATCAGTATTAATGATTATTTGGTATCATTAAAAATGATATCAATAAGGTAAGTGGCATAAGTTTGTACTTGATTCATGTTAAAAATTTTTTTTTATATCATGTATGTACAAATATTGATGGAAATGTGATTAGTGATAAACATGCAGTTAGTGATAAACATGCAGTTGGTGATAAACATGCAGTTGGTGATAAACATTCGGTTAGTAGCTGACATTCAGTTACTGATACATATACAATTACTGATAGATACATGCGGTTGCTGATAACAATTATTAGCAGATAGAGGACTACCAATAGAATATGGACGTATGATTATTTATAGGCATACAGTTACTGATAATATATATATATATATATATATATATAGTTACAGATAAAAATACGGATGATATTGAATAGCAAATATTGATAGGAACACAATTACTGATAAACAAGTAGTTACTGATAGATGTATAATTATTAATAGACATAGTGATATTATAGACATCATATGGTGATATGATAATATTGTTGCTGAGTGATATACGAATACTAACAGATATAGATTTATGAATGGTTGCTGAAAGACATACGGTACTGATAAACATACCAATGATAAATGTCAAAGTAATCTTATCAAAAATTTCCTATCATTCGAGTAATTCTATAACTACAAATGAGAAATGTTAGAATTATTTAGTAGGTATTACAATTTTTGTTTATCACAATGTCCATTTGATTAGTCTAATCCCATAGAACAGTAATCATTTTGACCCTGTCATCGCTATGTTGACAACAACTCTTCTAACAATATCACATATCATCAGCATATTCTTTGCCATCTATACAGGTAAACAATAATTTTAATACTTTATCATATCAATATTTAATAAATAATTTCGTATTTTAATTTGTAATTTTTTTCATTTCTAGGAATCTAAGTATAGAGATTTAAATTGATAATAGTATAGTAACAAGAATGAAATATATTTTGTAGAAATTTGAATAAAGTTAAAAAAAAAAGTTTGTACGAAAAATAATTTTAATTCCATTTTATGGAAAACAATTTTAAGTTTTTTTTTTGATTACTTATGTTTGTCATTATTAATTACAAAAGCATTAATCTTAATTTCTGATTTTAATTTCTTTTTTATTATTCATTTAGTTTATAACAATAAGATGTGCCTTTTATTTTTGATTATAACATACGTGTAACATAAATAATTTAAGGTTTTATTACTATTTTAATTATCTGAAATAAATCAATCATAATTTCTTTTATCAAATTATATTGATAAGATATGAAACTTTTTCGTTTTCTTTTTTATCCTTCATTTAAACATATATGTAAAAATAAATAATTTATAATTCATTACAACTAATTTCCTAAATTAATTATTCATAATTTTCCTTATCAGTTTCTAATGATAAGATGATTTATTGTTAATTCTCATCTAAACATACATTTTAGATGAATAATTTCAAATGATATCATTGCAAATATTTTCTATCTTAAAAAAAGGAAGAAAGGAAAAAGATTCCAATGGTTTTTTAAATTGATAATTTTTTATATAAATTATACCTTTCAAATGAATTGCTTAGCGCTTAGCAATTTAAAAAGGACATAATTTTGTGAAATTTTCTGTTTTCTTTTTTTGGAAAAATAATTTTAAGCAATTTTTGGCTTTAAGCATTTAAGCAATTTTCTTTTGATTTCAAAAAAAAAAGAAAAAAAGAAAAAAAAGAGACAAAAACGTTTTTTTGTTATATTTGCAATAGCAAAAAAAAAAGTGATATTTTGATAGAAAATAAAAAAAATTGAATTAAGGTAAAAAAAAG